CCCGCCCCCTCCCCTCCGCTGTTTAACTTTACGGTACTTCCCCGCACCAGAGCGCAGCAGCAGCCAGCCATCCTCAGCCAAGTTGGAAATCAAGAAGTCGCTGCTGGAGCCCCGCTAGCGGCCCGGAGCCGGCTGGGGCGGCGCTGATAAGAAGAGAGTGCGTCCAAGTTACTCATGGAAATGAGCGGCGTTAGACGCGACGTGTCTGGCCGCAGGCGCTGAGCCACATGGGTGGCCCGCAACGAGCATCCGACGCTCGTTTGATACGAAAACGAGAAATGGGGTAAGAGTGAGAGGCAGCCACGTTCTGGTTTCAACATCTCACGACTTCGACTTTCACCCGTCGTTTTCGGACGCATAGGAGCGGCGATGCCCGCTCGCCGCGGGGTTCTGATCCAGAGGAGCCACATGGGCATGGGTTGGGATGGGCTCCTGCGAGGGCGCTTGGCATGGCAGTACGCATAGTCCTGCTTGAGTCGTGAGCGTCCGGCAGCTGCCTCCTGGGCGCGCGGTTCGTCTGTGTCTGTGTTATTTGTCATGGAATACGTTTTTCGGAAAAATTACACCTGGGTCAAATATTTTGCCTTTTGCTAAGAGTTTCCCGCAAGACCTCTGGTTCAAACCTGCGCCTCCCTGCACCCACCCTAAATATTATCCGATTTTTGTCCTTTTCGAATGTATTGGGCGCCATATGGCAAACGTGAACGGATCTCCGACTGCTCCGTCACTTCATCTTATACTTGGGGTGAAAAGAAAAAAAGATCACCCTACCCCCTCTTTCCTTTACCCTTGACGGTGGCGAGCAGACAACCCTCCAGCGCAACCTTCCCCGGCCCCGTCTGCGCCGCCTGCCCCTTCCTGTCCCCCAATCCCAAGGCCCTAATCCCTACGCCGTCGCCACCTTACCTTGTTCGCTGCCCCCTCCCAACACCCATAACGCCGCCGCCCCTCAGGCGTCTTGTGACACGGGACACAATCGCACAAACACGGGGTGTGGGGGGCGGGGCCTGGGGCCGGGGCCTGGCGGAGGGGGAAGAAGGGGCTGTTGATTGTGGGACCCATTCACACACGAGCCCCACGCACACAGATGCGTTTTACGGAACGGAACACAAACGCGCGCGAGCGTAAATCTCCATGTGCGTAAGGTGTGTGTGTGTGTGTGTGTGTGTAAGAGAGAAAGAAGGGGGAAGGGGGGAACCGCCGGGGGAACGAGCTGGCGCTTCCTTCAATAAAATCCTGATTACGGATCCAATTTGTATGCGCCGCGCTGCGGTTCATACGTACTCGTGCACGCCCCTTCCCCCTCCCTCTCACTCATTTTCACTGCGAGTGAAGTGGATTGCCAATGATTCAACCCGCCGAGTACCCACCCCCTCCCTGGTCGGCTGCAACGGACCACAGGCGGCACAGCCCAGGTGACTCTCACTCTCTCATTTTTCTGGCCGTATTTTATTGGTATAACTTTTGCCCCGTGGTGGTTGGGGATGCTGAGGGCTCGACCAGGAGGTCTCGGGCTACGCTTCTACGCCGTCGGGGCTGGCAAATATGCAAATCCCTTTTGAGTGTCCTGCTGCAGGGCCTCGCAGGGTTCTGTATACTGTGAGCGGCAGGGACCCGTTCCCGTAACTTAACGTAATGTGGTTACGTTATTGTGACGTAGCTTAATTTACGTTGCTCGGTATTTTGAGAAGTTACGTATTCTAATAAGGAAATATTTTTGAGGTTGTTCGGTGCATGGGGCTCGGTTAATAGCTCATTGAGTGGATAACCCAGGACATGAAGGAATATCCCGTAAGACTACCGACATAGGCCAGTAATCCTTTTGTTGTACGTCACGTTTATTGCGATACCGTTAAAAATTACGTAGAACTAACACCCAGAAAAACCTGTTCTTGCACCAAGTTTTTTATGCTCGCATCAAGTGCAAAATAGACTTGACCAATCGGCACATAAATTAAGTAAATGTTTTTGGTTCAAGGACGAACGTTCTTGGTGTGTGTCGAAATTGGGCTTAAATAATTAAGTTCTGAAGACAGTTGATAATAGAGCGCATAGTACAAGAACACGCTTTTTTGCGTGTAACAAATCAAAATTGTATTGAAATTACAGTCTGAAGAGCGCAAACGTAAAGAAAAGCATTAACGAAAAATTCAGTTAAGTTACGGTTACCTGGAAGTGGTGTATGGAGCCGGGGCCAGAGAAGTTTCAGGTCAGATGGGCCAACTCCGCGAGCTAGTCGCGGTCCTGCCGCGTGCCTCGAAAAAGCAGCGCACCTGTCGGCCGAGGTAACAAATTGACCGGGACTGCCTCGTTCTAAATTTCTGCGGAAATTTTCCCGGCAGTGGTGGGCGGAGCGGAGTTGCGAGCTAAGCACACAGCAGCAGCTTTTCCGTCTCAACGCGCTCGCTTTCACGGGCCGCTGCGCCCACCCCCACCCCTCTTCTCTATCTCTCTCTCGCTTCGCCCTTATTCTCCTACGCATTTCGTTCTACTCTCTCTCCTCCTCTGCTCCCACCGATTCACCGAAGAATCCGTCACTGTAGAAAATACCTTTACAGCCAGTATTGTAAAAACAGTTTTCTTGGTACCAAAAGCACGCTATAAAACTGTGTACTTCCTTTGTCATTCATCTTACAATTTATAATACAGTAACTACGGTTTTTCAGTGCTTTACTTTTCAGTTTCACTATTATGGTATATTTTTTAAGAGTGTGTATGCAGGCACTACGTGGTGGCACGCCTCTCCGTGCTGCTCGCTGACTGCCCCCCCCCCCCCCCCTCCCACACCGACACACACACACTCACTCACTCTATCCCCTCTTTCTCACTCTTTACCACTTCTCTATCTCTCACTCTGCCAATAAATGATGCACCGCGCATCCAACAACAGTGTTTCACGATCATCCTCTCTGTGATCGTCACCTGGCCCACGCACCCAACGCCCTGCTTCGAGAGTGGTGGCATGTCGCTGTAGATGTGCCCCTGTTTGAGTGTGTGCGTGTGCTTTGTGAGTGTGTGCGTGCGAGAGTGTGAGAGAGGAGTAAACCGGCCCCCCACAAGGAGCTCCCCATTCATCATGACGAACAGACACATATTGTCTGCTTCGGCGCAGCGCATGCCCCGCCGTAATATTGGGCATCTATCTATTTATCTAACTATCCATCTATCCATCTATCTAACGTCTGTATATTCTTTGTATTCACCGACTCATCCATGGAGACGGCCCCAATGCCGGTAAATCGTAACCCGATTACCCCTATTGTATTGCTATTCCGCCCCAGCTCCCCGTTC